TTTTAATTGTGGTGACTGTGTTGAAAAAGTATGGTTTTGTAGCTGAGGATTTGCTCTATCAAATAACATTGTTGTGTTCTTCGTATCTGTTATAGTTTCCATGGAAATAAATAGGAGGCATTACTTTTAGAGTGATATTAAAAGACACACTAAAGAGACTTGAATAGGCAACGCTGAAGTGCTTTATTGGCATTCTGTCTAGTGAGAATTTACAGTCTGAAATTAGACACCTGAGATTTTACATCCAAGATCTGAAATAAACATTCAGCAGGAGGAAGCGCTGAGATCTCCTACATGTGAGTTACCTGTCTCTGTGGAATATCAGATTTTCCTGCGTTGTTTTTTCTTGAGACCTGTCAGTTTCATCTGTTAGTTTAAACCAACAGATGCCATTCTTGTCTTATCCAGAGTTTGGTAAAGGCAAGCTCAAGCACTGCCAGTATTACTGCTGGTGCTAAAGTGGTGCTGCCGGTTTTGTATATATTGCAGTTGTAACTGCATAGTCAGGAATCATAGAATGGCCTGGGTTGAAAAGGACCATAATGATCATCTAGTTTCAACCTGCCTGCTATGTTGAGTTGAGACCCGTTTGTCTATTTGCTATAAGCAGCCAGCAGTTTGCATGTTTCTATGCAAGCACTTTAAAGTGTGTTGATAGATATTTCCAAAGTATGCCTACAAGTATTTGTGTTCCTTTTGTTTTGGTGTTAAATTGTCATAACACCAATGTTTTGAACGACTGTTTTCTTCCATGCGCTCAGTGTAACTGAACTTGGAGGTGCGTATGCAATTATGTCTGCTATTACTGATTGCCTGCCTTCCCTGCAACACTTCTTGTTGATAGCAATATCTTCTGTGTCAGGAAATGGAGAAGCATGCAGTTGTTCAGACATGATGACAGGTGGCTCTATTATATGGGTCTTCCAGAGGTGTTGCCCCCAGGATTCTTCAGAAAAAATCAGGCACTTTGGAAAAATAGGTTTTGCTTTATTTTTAAATCTGAACTGTGAAGTGTAAATTCAGTACTGTTTTCACTTACTTTGTCTTGTGAGTTTGCTTTAATGGTGGCTCTTTAGTATGCTTTTCAAATAGATGTTACTTACATGTTTCTGTCCCCAGAAAGATAAAGTTCCAGTTCATTTTACTGAATAGTTGCTGGCTGTCAGTGTTATTTGTTCACAGATTTAACACACGTTATACTTGTGATATGTACCACTGTTTGTAAAACTTCAATTGCAACTAGACCAGCAGCACCCTGCTTTCAGCTTCTGAAACTTCAATATCATTAACATCAGCATTAGTATGTTTACCAGCACGTGCAGAAGATCCACGAAACAACTGAGTGAATTCCCTGCTTCACTGTACGGATTCAGTAAGAATCATCATTCGTTCACTTGGAATTAACCAAGTCCAAACCTGCACTACTTTCTAAAATGCAACAGAAGCATAAGCGTGTACAACTTGCCAAACTGGATCAGGATGGAGATTCATCCAATCTAATCTTGTCTCTGCCAGTACATACGTAACACCAGGTGCCTGAGAAGGATGTGCATGAGCCCCACCCCTGCAAGCAAAGCATTATCTTGTACTGATTTCACTTGGAGCTCTTGTTAACAATATTCTTTGTAGTACTCCCCTCCTGTCTGCTTTGCAATCTAACATGTCATTAATGGAAATCATAGAAACACGAGACGCTGTAATCTCAGTTGAGTCGCCTGTTTCTGCTGGGATCTCTTTCTGCTCTTGATACAGTTGATGTAACATTCTACATCATGGGTGACTAAAAACTGCTTTCCAACTGTGCTGAATTTCAATGATTGTTATATTGTCTGTTTTTTTGTCTTGTTTATGACTCTATGAAATTCCTTGTAACTCTCTGGTCCTGGGTGATTTAAATGGCTTTATGACATTTTTGTACAGAAAAGATTTTTGTACAGAAAAGCACTGCATCTTCTGAAGGACTTCATTCAGGCATGTCTTCTGGCAGTTGTGTGTCCATTACATCCCTGACACGCTCACAGAAATCTAAAATTGATCCACAGGAACCAGAAGTATCCATCCTGCTTGACTGTTACTGTGGTATCTTTATAGGGTTGGGGATTTTTGTTGTTTACAGGTCCAAATATGAATCTATAAAGTTCCTCATGATCTTTATTACCTTTACAAATAGAATCTTAAAGTATTACATTAGCATTGTTAATGACTAGATCTCTTTCTGAATGCAATGACTGAAAAATACATACAGCTCGGTCTACCTCTGACTTGGCACATCCATGTATTAGAGGTGAATTTTAGTCACAGGTGTGATTTCTTGTCTTTCTAGAGCTTACACTGTGTCTTTTATTGCCTTTTATGGTGAGCAGTGTTGTCCACATTGAGTAGGTATGTGTGATAGATGTGTTAAAGTAGTGCAGCTTTGCTGAAAGCCAAAGCAACCGAGTGCTTTGAAACAACCAACTTTGGGCTATCAGATTAAAAAGATAAATCTGTAGAAGAGTAGTTATTTAATTGACTGTTAGAATCAAGGTCTGAGAAAATTATATCAAGAAAACAGTTTGGGGAGAAGCATTTACTGTCATTGAGACCTTTCAAGCTAAATTCATAGTGTGAATGTTAGATTTCAGCTAGTGCTTACATTATTATTATTACTTACTGGATTAATCAGAGTGGAATGAGGGCTGGGTGCATGTTCAGCTTTAAATGGCATATTTATAAAGCAAAATGCTGGTAATTAGCTGTGTGTTACTCTACTAACTCCTATGGACTTCTAAGGGCTGTATAAGGATTGTAGGTTTGGTTAAGTGTTTAAATCTTTCTTCAGGCATTTTAACATTTTCTCTGTAATAATGATTAGTTTGATTGACCAGCTGTCTAACGCAGGAGGAATGTGTATTTCTTGTACATCGCTGGACAGATAAATCTGTGCTTTAGCACTGCAGCTGAGCTGGGTGTGGTTGCTGAGGGCAGTTAATGCTGACACCCCAAAAACCCAGCAACCCCACGTGTTGCAAAGTGAAGGACTTTGCACAAGTGCTCCTGCTGATTTCCCTTTGAACAGTAGGCTTCCTTTACAAATAGTTAATTAGGACGAGGTGATGCCAAGCTCTTGTGACAAACACTGTGTTAGATCATTTCCTGGGTTGTATTTAAGGACAAATAGTGAAGGAATTTAAATGGCTTAGCTGTACTGCATGTTGAGTTAATGTCAGTCTGCAATGTCAGTCTGCGTTCTTGCAAGACTGAATGAGACGTTGTGAATATAATCACCACCTCAAGGCCCTTTCTGAGGTGAATGGTGGATTTTATACCCTGACTTTCCAAGATTCTGTAAGACTTAATTGATAGGTGCAAAGCTACTCATTCCCCCCTCTGCTTTGCCTGGAGAAATCCAAATTCCTGCATTCATATATGTGTGACCTTTTCAGTCTTCATTCCAGTCTCGCTGGACTGACTGGTTTTGACTAGCTTTGGGGACCCTTGTAAGTATATATGTGGGTGGCAGAGTAATGTAATGGATACAGTAAAACAGAAATTTACGTGTTTTGAAGATTGTGTTGGCTTCAAATCAAAGAAATTTGAATGAGACCTCCGTTTAATTTGTTACAGAATCAGTTTGAGTCTCTGAAACATTATTTTTGGGGAAGCTGAGGCTCGGTTCCTAGGCATACCTCATGCTAGGTGTTGGTAGGAGGAAATGGACAAACAGTATCTTAGGAAAATTCATATCTTTGTTAATTTTGGCTTCTTTGCTGCAAGGAATATATTGATACGATGTTGGGCTTGAGATACAGGTGTCACAATACCTTTCTGACAGAGTATGGTGACCTACTTTTAGCAGCTTTGTGGGAAAAGGATACATGACTGCTGAATGTGAATCTTCATAATCCTTCTGATAGTCCTCAGCCTTTTCTACCAGCGTGCTTCCTGTGCATTTCTGGAAGTGCTGCACAGTATCTGCCTGTGCAAACTGAAAAATCAGTTTTGCTTTTCTCCTGTCTGCTTGGCATAAAGCAGCAGATGGCAGTTCCTCTGCCATAGGTGGGGAGGGCGGATACAGTGGTTTTGTAAGATACAGATGAAGGGCTGAGGGAGGCATGTAGCAGCAGGTCTGGCAGCTTAACAGCCCTGAAAGTCAAGCTATCACAAAACAGCAGTACTTGTAGTGGACTCCTTTTTCTGAAGTGGTCTCACTGACAAGTTCAGCCAATTCTTCAGGGTAAAGCAGGGAGAAGTTGCTGAATTGGAGTGAACAAAAAACACCCAACCTTTCCCTGCACTCCCCTCCCCCCCACTGCAATTTAATCAAAGTGCATCATTCCAAAATAATTAGGACCAATGCACTGACTGTTTGCCTGTGCTGCTTATAGATTCTGATGACTACCACAGCCTAAAATACATTCATACTAGAAGCAGGCAATGTTACGAAGCCAGAGAGCATCTAAGGTGGATCTCTACACACATTAATTTTTATTTTCAGGAAATTGCTTATGTTTAGGCTTAGCAAAGCCTAAAATAGTAAATAGTCCAAGGAAACTGCTGACATTTCTTATGAAGAGGACACATTTTAGGGTCATTCCCTCTGGGCCAGTAGAATAGCTTGGTCAGTATTTCCTGCAGCATATCTTCCAGACTAGCACCTTTGTCTTGCTGTCATTTGTATTTAAAAAGCAATGAAACACAGCAGTCAGGCCAGAGTTATATCCGTGTAAGTCCTGAAAGCTTTTGGCAGCACTTAAATTAGGAAAGTCCAGACAGAAAGTGTGTCATTTCTATCAACAAAGCAGTATAGGTATCAGTTTTAGCTTTGAAACTTTCTCCTGAGCTACTTTGCAAAACGAAGAATAGTACAGTGCATGGTCCCTTTTTGTTGATTTCGGTTCATATTTTTTCACTTGCTTTGGCCGAGTAATCTGCATTTCTACATTTCTAGTGCTAATAATGCTTGAGCACTGTGCCAGTCTCGTAAACCATGACAAAACTGAACTGGTGTAAAGGTTGTATCACTGGGCAGGAGCCACATCAAGCATCACAAATTCCTTGATGTTTGAAAACTGGATGCAAGCCAAGTCCACCTGAAGCTGCCTGATGCCACTCTTGTAGGGAATGATCTCAAACTCAGCTGTTGAGGTCTCCATGGGGGCCATTCTTGCCACACTAAGAAACAGGATATGTTGGTAAGTTCAAGCAGCAGAGAAATTCTTACCATATATTCTTCAAAGTTCCTGAATGTCAGACAATATAAAAAGAAAGTGTTGGGGTATGTAACTGGTGTGTTTGTGTGCTCTACGTGTGGACGTAAGCTACCATGTCCACAGCTACCTCAACACTGGACAGAATTTTGTGTTCAGTATAAATGAAGCCCCAGTGATGCACATAATTATCCAGCTTCCTCTATTTTTTTTTTCTCCCCTCTTAGAGTTTCCTGGTATTAACTCTCCCAGTCTAAATATTTGGAGATTTTTCAAACATTTTTAAACTAACAACCATAGGCAATGGGAGAATAATGCTTTTCCTCTTATCCTTCAAGGAAAGGAAGGAAGAAAGGTCTGAATTTTTTACTCACTAACTACAGCACTCAAGTTACATGCTGTCATTAAAAGCATGCTCTCTCTCCATTCCCCGAGCATTCTGTAATTCAACGTTTGGCGATAGAGGGGCAAAATATTCCAGCTAGATATGGAGAGTGCTGGCATGATGTTCTGTCCAATCTTAGTGCAAACAGTAGTCATGGGGTTGGCAGAATCTTTCAAAAAAAGTTCACTTGTGTTCTGGATTCCCCACTAACGTGAATGAGTTATTCACCAAACACCATTTACATACTTGATGTTGAGTTGCTCTTTGAGCAGGCCGCTGCCTTCTGCTCTCAGCACACAGTCTGTCACTACTTCAGACAGCGGGTTGGTAAATGTGACCAGCACCTTAGTGGCCTTGTGTACCACTGTTGGACCAAGGACCTACAGAGAAAAAATATTCTGCTCAGCTTCAGTATTGGCCTCGCATCTTTTTCACAGTTTGCTCTTTTAAATTCCATTGCAAACCACTTATCAGGATGCCCTGAACAGGAAGGAGTAAGGAATTAATCTGAGTACATATTTTTGGACATGAGAGTGCAGGCTTGTGTCAGCCATCTGCTGTGTTTGAGGAGTGGTGAACTCCTGTCGGATCAATAATTCCCAGTGTTTTAACTGGGCCGGAATGCAGTGTTATATACTGTATCATATATGATACTTAAAAGTGAGAAGAGAAAAAAATACAAGTATTATCTTGGCATATATGGCCAACTGCTGTAGACAACTTAAATGAAATTAGTATTAGTAAGGCTAAATGAATGGTTTGGGATTAAGTGTGAGACAGAGGTGAATTGTGGCATCTCAAGCAAAAGAATCATAATGTGAAATAGCAAATAAAAGTATTCATTACCGTATTCTGACTGAGATAACGTAGAATTGGCACATCTGCTTGTCCAAGTCCAGCACCATAATTGTATTTTTCTGTCACTGGATGTATGCTTATATAGGAATTTCAATCAACAGAAACACAAAGCCTGCTAGAAATTCAGTCACTGAAGTGTCTGCCCTATTAGCTGATGCTATGCAGTATAGCACAAGAGGCTTCTTACAAACCTTTGTTTTCCTTTGTGGGTATGCAGATCTAGTCTGGATGCTGGGAAACACAGAAATTCTATCGCTCCTTGCAGGTTGCTTACAGTACAGGAGACATAGAGACACAGAAGGGACTGGCTTTTTACCTCGATGTTGAGAAGAGGATCCTGAAGTACAATATCTTTTTCCAGTAGAAGTGATGCTCCCTGTCTGGCTTCACACACAGCAGTCACTAGGATCTTCCTGTCATCCAACAAAGCATTTTTGTACTGGGAGTAGGTGATCTTGAATGAGATCTCTTTCACTGGAATGCAAACAGAAGCAGATATTTCCACTCTTTTATTTTCTAAGTACTATAATCCTCAGGATTATATTAGGATATAATTATTAGGGAGCAATGATGCTGTCACCTTGGGTCTGTTCACTTTTGAATGTTGACAGCCCATAGTTGGAAATGATGCTCAGAGATGACTTCTACTTATCTTTGCCTTAAACACCAAGTGATTGGGTATGGTTTGCTAGCTGGGCAGATCTGAGGATGGATTTCTGTAGCAGCCCATGCTGGTGGTTTTCTCATGAATCTGAAGCTGGGAATTTCACATTCTGTTCTTGCAGAGGAGGCAAAAGTGAAAAGATGGCCTGATTTAAATGCCTGTGCTGATGCAGCTGTTCAGCCTCTGTCTTACTGTCACAGGATGCACATTCTGTCTTACTTGGCAACGAGGAAGACAGTGCAGTTCTCAGCACATTGAGAAATAACTCTCATCCACTCTTGGTGTGGCGGAAGGAGTTATAACATTGTGGATTAGTTTGAGGGGGTAGTTGTATTCAGTTGTCCTATGCTTTGTTATTTAGCACTCCTCCTCTAAGAGCAAGGCAAAAGGCCTTCATCTGCAAGTAGTGTAGTTCTTTCTTACTGTGATCTGCAGTTGCTGTCCTGTTACTACAAAGGTATCTTTCCTGACAGGGTCCAAAAGCAAACATTTAAAACAGGGTAAGTTTCTCTTTGCCTGAATAGTTCTAAGCTCAGACCATTTATAGTCAGGGCATCTGAGACATTTATGATGTCTATATGATTTGGACACAAACTAAAGCTACATCTTGTCCTGATCTGTAATAAGATTAAAATTACCTTCTTCAGATCCAAGTTGAACAGACCTAGACCACTGCAAGATCTCTGCCTTCGGTTTTCTCGTGTAGAGAACAGCTGAAGCCTTCAGTTTAACCTTTATGGTCTTGAAGTCTGCAGTCAAATTCTGCAGTGCCAAGGTGAGGAGGATATCCTGGCCTATTACAGGAGATGCATCCAGCTTCAGCTTCCCCGAGACAGTGGGTTTTCGTGTGGTCGCTGTCATATTTTGTCTCCGTGCTACTGGAAGTCGTCTCCTGGGTTTTGTAACTTTTTTTCTTCTTCCAGTGTTTCTCACACCCAGCAGCTTCACTGCCTTTTTGTACACCTGCCTTTCTTTGGAGGATCCTGCTTTAAAAGATAAATTGGTCAGAGATCTCGTATTCGATGGATATAGGGCAGTTAAGCCAGAATTGCTCTCAGTAATTAAAGTTTGTGAAGGCAGGGAAAGATACATGGGAGGAGAAATTGAGGCCTAACCGAAAGCTAATTTTGACCAAAAAAAACCTCTTAAATGAATATACATGGTTACGATGGCTGGAAAGTAAAATTTGGCTGTTAGCTTCAGCTGGTTGTTCATGGGACCTGTTAGAAACTGTTAGCAGTGCAAAAATAACTCCTAGAAGAGCTCAGTTCTTCTACCTAAGCTGGAGTAAATGCCATCTCCTCTGAAAATAGAAAGAATTTACCTTCTGGATATTTGTAATTATCAGTGACATCCACTCGGGTGTTGGTGCCCACTGCTTTGGTGCTAATAAATTTTCCAATTTTCCTGGTATTGGAGTAAATTCTCTCTTTCCTTTTGTTGCTATGGTGAATCCAAGTAACACAGTCAGCATTCACTGCTGCGAACACAAATGAGCTGTCATAATCCAGGTTCACATCTCCTTCCTTAATGGCTCTGGTGGAAGCTGGGCCACATCGATAGATGCCTATGTGAAGGAGAGAGAAGTGAAGTGGTTACCAATTGCAAAAAATCAGGTGCAGGCCACAAATCTTCCTGCTGACAGCAAAAGGGAGAGGTAGTCAGATCTCCAAAGACATGTTTTGATGAATTCCATTCTTTCTGGGTCTTTACATTATGGTAACAGTGTGTCCAGAAATTCAACATGCATTTTCTATCAGAAGGCACAAACAAGGAGGCTGTAAAGCTGAAGAGATGTAAGTAGTGCTTTCTGTGCTATGAGAATTGTTTTAATCCTCCAAAGCCCGTGAGGCTGTATGCTGACCTGTCAAATGAAAGGAGAGAAGAGACTGGCAGCTCTCAGCACAGTCAGACTGCTCAGATGTGAGTCATCAGTGCTGTATGTGCAGCACTGATGAACCAGGAGCTTTAATACATAAATATCTGATGGGGAGGTATAAAGGTGACAGGATCAGACTCTCCTCAATGATAAGCAGTGAAAGGACAAGAGGCAATGAGTACAAACTGAAAATCTCATTTAAACATAAGGAATAACCTCTTTTACTGTGAGGGTGGTCAAGCACTGGGATGGGACACACAGAGAGGTTGTGAAGTCTCCATCCTATGAATATACAAAACCCAGTTGGATGTGGTCCTGAGAAAACTGCTGTCATTGACCCTGCACTGAGCAGAGTAAACAGTCTCCAGAAGTCCCTTCTAACCTTAGTTGTTCTTCATCATTTTATGAATGTGTGTTTGGAGCTGAGGCAGGCAAGTGTAAGATAAGTGAACTTAAGATGCATTTGTTTTTATGTAGGCTAATGAGCAGGAAAAGTAAGAATCTGCATGCGGGTAGACACTCCAGAGGCTGACAGAAAGGCAGTGTGCTGGAGATGAGGGTATGCTACAACTATTCTAAGAGTAGAGAGAATCATCCTAGAATTTCAGTAGCAGTGTTAGGAGGAACAGCAACTACAGGGTTATTTTATTTACCACAGTGTTACCTTTGCTTTTTTCCTGGGGTGTTGCATCCAAAACCTGCCATCCATCATAAAAAGATCCAAGATCTCTTCTAGCAAACCAGCTCTCGTTCCAGACATGGTAATTCCTGGGAAGGAAGGAAGGAAAATAGGAAATCTTTGATTAATACGATCAATTTTATGTTGAAAGATATGATAAATTTGTGGTGCAGGGCAAGAACAAACCATGCTCCTCTGCATAGCTGCTTCCTGCTTTCTTGAATACCTCTTTCCCCCTCTTTGTCTTTTTGGTATTCAGACCTCTCAGAAATACTGGGTTGTTACACACAAAGTAATGTTAAAAAAAATATATTTATTGCAGGGTCAAGTGTTCAGATCTGTATATTCTAAAACAACATGTCAGTTGGAACTGACATGTTCCAGAACAAGGTCTTCCATGTACAGTGCTGTCTTGTGGTATTTAATTCTACTTTGTGTCATGCTTGTCCTACTTAGTCCAAATAGCAGAGGGTGCTTGTGGTCTGAAACACTGGTACATGCAGTAGAATGCATGCATGCAGTGTGTTAGTTTCTGTTCACCTGTTTGTTAGAAGCATCATATTTAACAAATAGCTCCTCTCATGTGAAAGAAATAATGTGTCCTTCCTAAGTGATGGGGTGGCATAGGATTTTTGTCTGCTGCATTCAATATATTGGCTTTGCTTTAGTAACCTCTAATACAGTGCAAGGAGTGTACAATGGTAGGAAGACTGAGACAGTCAACAGGAGCTGCATCTAAAACCTGCAGTCTTCTGAAAGTTCTAGGAATTGAGGGACAAATTAGCTCATTTTAATCAAGCAGTTAATCACTCTTCCTTTAACTTTCTTTTGGAAAAAAGCTGTCATATAGTAGAAACAAAATTAGAGGTTATATCTTCCAACCTGCGTGTTGAACAGCAAGTGTGCCAAATAACTCCTCTGCTGAGTCTTCAGAATGTTGAAACTGATTGCATCCTGCATTTCTGAACACAGTGTGCTGTTGATTCTTTGCTATGGAATTTTGTATCTTTGGAAGCATGAGGTTGGGGTGGGTTTCTAGGAGAGTGATTCTAGATGCTGTGACTAGAGGAGAGTATAGTGGAAGAAATATTAAGATAAAATTCGTATTTACCATACGCTGTCTTCAGTCAAGTGCAGGGTCTTTCCAGAAACATCGATGTATTTGTCAATACTCAGGTTGATATTACTATCGTGTGCAGAGTTAAAGTTTGTAATAACACGGGTAGGTATTCCTAGCGATCTCAGAACTGCAATACAGATAAAAGTGCTTTAAGCCTATTTTACAGATTTTTCTGATGGAGAAACACTGCTCTGATACGGTACAGGGATGTCACATAATCATTGTGCAAAGTTGCTGAGAAGACAGTTCCATTCACACAGCATTCTTAACTGCCTTGTTCTTTTTAAGAAGAGTTAGATTTACTCATTTTAATCTTTCATTCTTCATATATCTTCAACAGCATCACAAGGTTAAAGCTACTTAAATTCCACTAAATTTCCTTTCTGATAGTATTTTTCTCCCCTTCACGGATACCTGTGCACATAACTCCTGCAAAGACCCAGCACTGGCCATACCGGATGGGTTTGTATCTCCCTCTGTACCACTTTCGAAGGATGGTCACACTTCCACTCCAGTGCAAAGGGTTGGTTCCTGAGCGATAGTTTCCACTCCACTTCCCTTCCACTACTCCCTTTTCATCATTGCTGTTAACCTGAAAACAATGCTTCTCATGAGAGAGTTACAATACAGTACAGAAGAAGGGAGAGGCAGAAATAGACAATCATGGAATGGTTTGAGTTGAAAGAGACCTTAAAGGTGATGCAGTTCTAATGCCCCTGCCATGGGCAGGGACACCTCCCACCAGAGCAGGTTGCTTGGAGCCGCATCCAGCCTGACCTTAAACACTTCAGAGAGGAATCGCCACAACTTTCTGAGCACCCTGTTCTGGTATCTAAGCACTCTCATAGTAGAGAATTTATTCCTTATATCTAATCTAAATATACCTCTTTCAGCTTTAAACCGTTCTCTCTTATTCTATCATCCCTTGATAAAGAGTCCCTTTGGTTTAGGCCTCCTTTAAGTACTGGAGGGCTACTTAGAATGGTTTAACTTGGAGGGTACCTTAAAGCTCATCCAGTTCCAACCCCCTGCCTTTGGCTGGTTGCTGCCCACCAGATCAGGCCCCATCCAACCCAGCCTTGAATGCCTCCAGGAATGGGGCATCCAGCTGTTAAAATGTGCTTGTATATTTGTACACCTGCATTTTAGCAGCCTGTGTAAGTGCTGTGTATGGTTTCATGTAGCATCAAGTATAGTAAACAGTAAGATTTTTTATTATTTTTTTCTTCAGTATTCCTTCTCCCAGTAATTATGTGTAACTTAGTAGAGTTATTTACTTAATATTGAAATTTTCTAAAGCAAATGCTGTCTAAAAGGCCAGGAAGGATCACAGGTGTAAATGAGCGGTTTCAGGTAAGGAATGTGGTAAGGCATACATTATTTATAAAACTGAAAACTTTTCGGTTGCCTAGTTATGCATTATATATGTGTGGGGATGGGGAATTGTTGAGGAGATGTAACTATTTGTTGAAGGAAATGCATACCATCCTCACTGAACAAACTCCCCTAGAGTGAAGGATACAGTATAAATACATTAAATGCCATCATATCAATACTAGTTTTCCCAAATATTTCATGCATCTTTTGCTGTTCGAGAAACAGAGCAAATGATTTCAGAATAGACTTTCTAAATTAGAGAAAATATCTAATCTAAAAATCTGTTAAGAAGACTGCTGAGATTCAGTGTCAGAAGGTCTTAGAAACATTCTTCATTCCTTCAATTATTGAGCAAACTTTTGGGACAAAGGAAAATTAAATTCTGGGGGGTTTGCATTGAGATGAGATCTGTCTTATTTCTCTTCTCTAGCCTTTTTTTTTTTTTTTTTCCCAGTAAAAACTAAACACATTCTGTATGACATTGAGAAGGTTCACAGTAGAAACACTGAGGTAGGTGCACTGTACAGCTGTAACTAGCTGATCACTTTACCATAGCACTAATAACCCTGCACACATAGATGGGATCGTTCCTGTTGGATACATCAGTGGATGGATCTTGGCGGTGGTTCAGGCTTCGATCCAGTATAGACAGAGAGATATCAAGGATATCTTCTTCAAACTAAAATCAAAAGAAACATTATTATTACGGGTTAATTTTATAAATAAAAGCAAGAATAAACTCCATACGTATTTTCCTTCTCCTTGGATGATAGGATGATGGTTATCTAAGATTTTTCAGTATTATGAAAGAAAATAGATACAATAAGAAAGAAAAAACACTACACTGGTATTTAATTACTAGTAGTAATTAGCAACCAGCGTATTTAGAAGCACATTTTGGTACCACAGCATTCATGAAGAAATTACCCAGGCATGGCCTGGTGGTCCAGACAAGACCATTCCAGGACTGGCTCAGCAGGCTTCACCTCCTCCCACATCCTGTCGTGTCCCAGCAGGTACTCTCCCCTTCACATTACAAAAACCTTGCTCTGATGGGCTGCCTTCACCATATATCAAATTATATGAACTGGAAAAGAAATAAAAGGAGAAGGAGAAAAAGGGAGGGAGAAAGACAGAGAAAGAGAGAAACTGTTGGTGCAGTTGTTATCCTTAAAATGGCCATAGGTTGTTTTTGACTGACCTCACAAATTGCAGGACAGCTCTGTAACCACAGATGAGCTGTAGGTATGATCAAATTAATAGCAGATGTGTTTAGAAGGCCAAACTGGTATTTTAAAATTCCAACTTGAGTTGTTTCAGTTGAGTATCTTTGAGATATTCTGCCCCAATACTAGGTCAATTTTAAAAATATTTAGATGTACCAATCTTTCAATAAATAGAAGGTACAGCTGGTGTAGTTTCCGTTGCCCTTTATGGGGGACAAGAAAAAAAAAGTAGAATTTCTCTACTTTGTTAACAACAACAACAACAACAGACCAATGAAACAATAACATCTCAAATTGTGTTTTGTTTCTTATTTCTTTTCCTAGCACATGCCAGAGGGGAAAAGATCCTGATGTTGTTGTGATGTGTAGAAAAAACTGATAGTTTGGCAAGAAAAAAATGAATAAGAAATACTGAACTTCTATGCTATGATACTCCTATACTAAGGACTCTGTCCTTAAGACCCTCATCCATGCACTCACTCTTATTTTCCTGTTTTCCTTGCTTACCTGCCCATAATTCCAAGCTTCTTGCTGAATATATTTTTCCTTTCCCTGAAATATGATTCCACTGTCATTCAGAACATATTCCCGTCGCTCCTTTTCATTAGCCATATAGACATCATCATCTGGAAGCAGAATGAGAAATGCCAGCTGAAAGGATTGTTGGTTTGCTGCAGTTGAGAAGAAAACTTCAAGGGGACTTCTGAGAAACAGGTGAGGCTGTACCCCTCGCAATCATTCACAGAGTGAATAGAATTAGCATGAAGCTAATTTTATGGGAACTGAGTACGCTCCTGTCCTTTCACTGCTTCTCTGATCTTGTTGTATGTCTTACTGGTAGATATTGTGTCGCTTACAACAGAACACGCTATCAGAGGACAAAAAAGATGTAGAATATGTTTTTGAAATATTTCCCTCCTCTAATTTCTTACTCTATGAGCAGAAAGCTGGATCTTTGATGCATTAAAGCACTGAAGAAAGAGCAAAAACAACATCCTTTACGTAGATCAAAATATCGTACTGTGTCATGCTGTCAGGTACGTGCTTTACTGTGGCACCCAGATTTCCTGAAGAACATAATACCATAAAACGTACTTGGACACCAGGGATTGAAGAGTAACACAAACTGGCCTAGGAGTGCTGAAGAGGTCTTGTTGCCAGAAGCAATCTGGAGTTTGAGTTTGTATCGTCCAATGACGGCATTGGCAGGGCTGATTATCATGAGACTCATGCGGCCAGGCTCACAGTGCTCTTGGGTTGCACTCCAGCCATTGGCAGCATCCTTAGAAAGGTGAAATATGGCCTTGGTCTGCTGTGATTCTGCTGCAGATAGTCCTGCCAGAAGGAACAGGAGACAGCAATTCTGAGTGATAGCAGTAGATGACAAGCCAGGATCAACAATTATTTCATTTGCTACATTGAAGGATTATGGTTCATGGTGTAAGCTAGCTGCAATCCAATGCATAAAATCACCCTATGGGGCCCCTCTGTGTTAGATGCATGACCTAGTCAAGGTGAGTACTCCCACAGTCATTCTAGAGAAGTGAAGAGGCAAGACCTTGTCCTGAAAATCCAACTACATTGAAAACTACAGAAGCAAGATGGGGCACAGGTTGTAATATCCATTTCATTAAAAAGTTAAAGAGTTGTCTCTTTTTTTTTTTTCAGAGAAGGCCTTTTGGAGGATAGGGATGGGAGTGTTAGTAAATAGGTAGTGTGGACTGTTCCAGGAATAAGGAACACCTGAAGTTAATCAAGCAGAGTTTAAACAGGTGGAGTGCTAGGAAAGAAGACAAATAAACACGTAATAGTGGTCTGTAGGATCTGGAGCTGCAGAAAGTTCAGGATTCACAAGGTGAAGACAGTATGCAGTGTTTCAGGTAGGTCTTTAAAAGAAGAAATACAGGCCTGGTTTGTTTGGTTGTTTTTGTGTGTGTGTATGAGAATGGCCTGTGCCTTTCCATTTATTATTACCTTAATTGTCTATTGGTTTAGGGTGCCCATTTGAGGTTTAGAATGGGCACTTCTAAGCCTAAAATAATTGAGTGATATGGAGCAAAGGTTAGTGATCACACAGAAAGCTATGAAGCAGTAGTGTTTTGGAGCTGGAGCAGTCAGGATGGGAGGTTAGTGCCACGAGGAAATTACCTGTGCTTGCAATAAATGTGAAGTTGTCCTCAGGTTGCACCGTTGTTTGGAAGTTTAGGGTAATAGTGAAAGCCTGTCCTCTCCTCAAGATCACTTGTGTGCTGTTGTAATCGGATGTGTGGTGTGCAGCTTTATTTAGCTTAGAGTGCCAGTCAACATTTGTTATTTTCTTAGCTAGAAAAATGTAAAGTAAGTTAATGGAAACCATTCCTTTAAACTTATACGTCCTGTCAGCTTGTCTAATGTTGTTGCTTCATTCCATTTATGTATTGCTGAAGTTAAATGTTCCAGGAAAACAGAAAAATCCACCATCAAGCTATTAAAAAAAACAAAGTTGCAACAATAAACTAGCTAAAAGAACAGCTTTTCCTACGGGGATCTTAGCTTCCATTGTGCTTTACAGATGTATGTAAAGAAATATTAGAACTCATACGCGAGTTCAACCTGCAAGCAGTATGGTAGGTGATGAAGGCTAATATCTTTATTGTCAAACTCAGGACATATAAGTCAAGAGAATGTGCATCTTAGTTAACATAGAGGCTTTTTGCTTGTGTTTCATATTCTGTATTATTTCATACTCTCTCAGAAATAGGCAATGGCCAGAGGACAGATAATAAGCTGTCTGAGACAGTGCAATGGGTTGTTCTGTTGCATCAGGTAGGTCGCCCTCTGCATTTATAATGAGATACTGAGACACAGATTACAGAAGCTTTCAAACCTTTCTTGTTCTTTAATTAATAATAATTATAAATAAATAGATCCTTCTATGAACACACGTGTTGAAAGGTGCCTTTCTGCAGTATAGCACTCCAGAGGATTTTGACTTGAAAATTTTTTGCTGAGACAAGAGCATGTTAGCCCTTTGGAAACTAATGCTGTTGAAAGATGCTCTTCTCTCTTTCATTGAACTGAGATACAGGACTTGATTAACATCATCTTGTGTCACTTGAAATGAAATTCAAATTTTGCAGCCTAGAAAGCCAGTTGCTTCTTTTGATACAGCCCAGGAAACATGACCTGTGGGTCCAGGGAGGCGATTCTCCCATTCTGCTCCATTCTTGTGAGCCCTCATCTGTAGCACTGCATTCAGCTTTGGGGAGCCCAAAATAAGAGAGAGACAGACCTGTTGGAATGGATCCAGAGGAGGGCCATTGAAATGGTCACAGGGCTGGAGCACTTCTCCCTTGAAGACAGACTGAGAGAGTTGGGATTATTTAGCCTAGGAAAGAGAAGGCTCTGGGAAGATCTTATTGTGGCCTTCCAAATCTTAAAAATGGCCTATAAGAAAGATGGAGAAAGAGTCTTTACCAGGCTGTGTAATGATACGACAAGAGGAGTGGTTTTAAACTAAAAGAGATTTGGATTAGTTATAAGGAAGAAAATCTTTGCTGTGAAGATGTAGATATGGAATAGTGTGCCTTGGTAGGTTGTGGAGATCCCCACCCTGGAAGCATTCAAGGCCAGGTCAGATGGAACTTAGAGCAACCTGCTCTGGTGGGAGATGTCTGGAGATGTCCCCACCCATGGCAGGGGCGTTGAAGCTAGATGGTCTTTAAGATATCTTTCAACTAAAACTATTCTGTGATCTGTAGGAACTGATAGGGTTCTACTACAAGAATAGAGGAGGGGAGGGGCTTGAGTTTTCTGCTGTGTTTGCATGACAGTGTACAGTAATAGGTATATGCAGTAATGTTTATGTTACATGATGTGAAATTGCTATAAAGCTTCTACTTGCACCATGACTTTGTTTTCCTGCCTTAAATGTGCTTAATTGAAATAAACCTACAGCAAACAATAATCCTACCATCAAGTCCTCTAATTTAAGAGTGAATTAGAGCATGTTTCCTGGGCTCAGAGATTTAATAGAAGTTAGTTTTGCAACGCTTTAGTTGTATGTATCCTATCACTATTTTTCCTGAACTTTACAAGTTAAATAGAAGCATATGAGAGAAGAGGTTTCTAAGACTGCTGAATTTGGGGCATATGAAAGCTATCCTGGTTTCATGTGCAAGGAAAAGAGGTATGTCTTGGAGAGTGTCATTAGCTGTGCAGTGATGCAGATAACAGAGAACATTTTGTGTAGTGGCAAACAAAAATGTAGCATATACATAATAACAACTGAGCTATGCTTTTAAGGATACTGATAGAACTATGTTGTTTAATGACCTAATAAATACTGATAGGTCTTCCAAGGCGGAATGACACAGGTAAAGACAAAATGTACAACAGAGTAAGAAATGACACTCGGAGGAATAGGAAAACTTAGAAAAAGAAAAAAAAAAAAAAAAAAAACCAACAAAAAAAAAGTAACAAAACATAACCTGTAAACCAACAGTAACTAGCATTTGTTGCCTTTAAGAACTCACTGTGTTAATATTTTGGCCCACCTTCCAAAGCTAGTAGTTAGAGATGTTTCTAGTGAACACGTCACAAGTCACAATAAAAATCTAGTGCCAGTCTTTGCCAGTGTGTACTTCCAACTTTCTCCTTGATTTAATCTGTAAACAGTTTTAATCTTACAATTTCTTTTTCTGGTTTCAGTGTCTCTCTTTTGGGGAGGGAGAAGGGGGGAAGGACTTTGAATAATCCTGATAATGTATCATCATTCAAAAGAGTCATAAAAAAAGTCGTTTGGGAAAGTGCTTCTCCTCTAATGGATAGACTTTGGGAACGTGCTAATAAGCAACATTCTGCAGAATTTTCCAGTTAGCATGGGAGCCAGTGCAATACAATTCACAGATATTAGGATTGTGTTTCCACCAAGGAGCACACAGGCTGACATAACTGCTTGGCTGTGAGGGGGATATGGGGTCTGGAGGCCATCAAATGACATTTGTGAGGCCATTGATCAGTTTGGTATCAGAAAGGGATTAGAGCCCAGCATTTCTGTATGGCAGTTTGATGCTTGCACCTCTATCCAACAAAGCTGCTGAGGCACTGTGTAGAGCAGTTAATGGATATGGCTTAAAAAAAAAAAAAAGTAGTTTCTTTTTCTACTTTTCTGTTACATGAGTTAAAAAAACAAAACAAAACGCAACAACCAACATACCATTCAAGATACATTATATCAAATAAATACATTTTGAATACATTAATCAATAAAGGCATGTAACCTAGAGAGTGCTAATTTTCCAAGAACAATGAGATGTAATTTATCCTATTTCTGCAGCAAATGTCACTTATCTGTATTGGAAGAGTGATGATTGGAGCAATCAAGCTATGGTTTATTTTTTATCTTTTTTTTTTTTTTTTTTTTAATAACTTACCAGCCATAAGGTTTCTTTCTTCTTTTCCACACTTGGGTAGTTGAGGCTATGGCTACAAAAGTGTGCAGCAACTTTCTGAATCCTCTCCCACCAGCATAAGTAATGAAAGGCTTAAGGTACTGACCCCTCTAAATAAGCTACAGCTTATATAAAGCAGGGTGTGACCTGTGGTTGCAAGTTATTGTTGTTTTAGTAATATCCTACATAAGCATCTATTTAGGGCTGATATAATTGCACAATATTGGATCTAATTATGACTATTTAAAACTGGTGAATGGCTGAGGAAGGATTATAATCAGTATCCTGGTGTCTTCTCTACTAAGTGAAGAAAACATTCCGGACTGGATCGAACAAAGAAAATGGTCTTTAAGGAGTCAGCGGAAATCTAGAATCATAGAATCATTTGAGTTGGAAAGGATGTTTAAAGACAATCTGGCCCAACTCCCTGCAGTGAACAGGGACACCCACAACTCCACCAGTGCTCAGAGCCCGTCCAGCCTGACCCTGAATGCCTGCAGGGATGGGGCACCTGCCTCTTCTCTATGCAATCTGTGCAAGTGCCTCTGACCAACTTCGTTTTGGTCAGATGTGTTTATGTCAGCTTACATTTCTGGAGACTGCATGAACAGAAGGCCTGATATAGATGAATATCATATACATATTGTACAACATGGAGTGTACAGTAATCTGCACAGATTTGTAATGTCACTGTAACTCAGTAGCATCGTGACTTTGCATAGCATAATCTATTTATGAAAAAGACAGACCTGCCTGAAGGTCTTACAAATCACTTGGTATAACAGTATATAACATAACATAACATATGCCTCCTTTCTTGGAGGCATATGGACCCTTGATTTTCTCATTATCTGTTCCTGATGTGCTTGTCTGTAATAAGTGTTTCTTGCATTACGAGCCATACAGCCCACTGGGAGGGTGTGATTACACAGTCACCTATGCATCAGAGGTTTCTATGAAGAACAGGGGATTGAATAGTGTCTGCCTTTACTTTTACTCGTTTTTATTTATAGTTTGGCATTCTTAATACTTCTACATTTCTCTGTAGCTATTTGGCATGGTGTCTTGAGCTGGACTCAGGAGGAAGCTGCAGAGCATCACGTTTTCTGCCATAAGCTCTACCCACTGTAATTACAGGCACTTCTGTGCTCTTTAAGCTGTCATGTTCTTCTGTCCTGCATCTCATGCCAGGACTTATCTAGAAACGTGCCCTGCCAATTTGTCCCAAGAGGATGTTGTGCACCATTTATTGCATACTTTCGATAGACTGTGATAGGTTAGGAGCAAGAAGGATAGTGGGAAAAAGTGATCTCTTATTTTCCTTGCCTTAGTTCTTCTACCTTGTGCCTTTTTAATGTCTCTTCTGTTTTCTTTTTTTGTTTCCAGATCCATATCAAGATTGCATGCAACCAAAAAGGCAAATCAACTTTCTGCAGCTTAAATTTGTATTGAAAAGATCCAAACTAAGCCCAGGTAGTAATAACAATTGAGTGAGCACCATATTTTTTAGCCATCCCTAGAGAGGCTTGATGGCTTGTTTGCACTTGGATTGATGCAAACCTGGATACGTGTACAGACTGGGAATAGGACTTGAGAGCAGCCCTATGGTGAAGGAGTAAGGGATCCTGTTGGACAAAAAGCTGAATGTGAGCCAAAAGTGTGCACTTGCAGCCTGGAAGACCAATGTATCCTGGGCTGCATCAACAGAGAGCTGGCAGTGAGCTAGGAGGGGATTGTCCCCATCTGTTTTGCCCTTGTGAGGCCCCATTTTCAGTACTGCGTCCAGGTATGGGGCCCCAGTGTAGGAGGGATGTGGAGCTGTTGGAGTGGGTTCAGAGGAGGGCCATGAAGATGTTCAGAGGCCTGGAGCACCTCTCCTGTGAAGACAGGCTGAGGGAGTTGGGCTTGTTTAGCTTGAAGAAGA